TATCTCCAGTGTGTGGGTGAGGAAACAAAATAATATCTAAAATCTTATTTACAATATCCCAATTATTATCAATATAATGGAACGTAATAGCACAGTAGGACGTGCTATTATTAGCAGTCCACAAATCTGTGCTTAAAGCTATCATATTACTGTTATTTTTTAATTTATCAATTAAATTTTTTTTGGCTATAGTGTAGACATTACTAAGGTTTTTTTTTAATGTTTGCCTACACCACAGCTTTATATTTTTATTTGTATAATAGAAAATTTTTTTAAAAGCTGGGTTTTCGATTATATTAAAGGAACAATTAGTTTTTATTAAAAAAATTAAAATGAGTTTATTTATCATTAAATTTTCATGAGATAAAAGCTTTCTCATCCCCGGCATCGAGTCAATGGAACCGTGTGAGTGTGACATCTCTTTGAATATATTTGGATGCACCGATTTAAGATGTTTTTTCAAATTCGCTAAATATATAAAATATAATTCATAAATTAGTACAGGAAGTTTTTAATAAATAATATTTTTCGGTCTAAATTGGTTGGTTGTGTAGTGCTCAGACCCGGGGTTTGGGTCTAAAATATCGACTAAACCAGCTCTGAGCACGAACCCCGAGCACAAACCCGGGGTTCAGACCCGAGGCCTGTGCTCGAGCAAGTATTAGCACAAAATTGGGTCGTATATTTTACGACCAAGCAAATTGACAACACTTAAACCGTGCTCAGAGCTAGCCTGAGCACTAATTAAGTTAAAAAGCTAAATTTTTTATTTCTCAAGCCGGCTCAGGATAGGTTTAAGCCGTTGGTTCAGGCCGGCTCAAGAAATATTTAAGACAAAAATTTAAAATTATTGTTACTTTGGGAAGTTGAAAATTTGTAAATACTTGGGCAAAGATTACATTTTTTACGTGTCTTATTAGGAGTCATCGTAAATGAATTCCTAATGTCTATTGGTATGGATGACGATGAGGCTTCTTCAGAAAATGATTCTACCAATTCTTGTCCTATAGATGATTGAGACAAAAATGAGAATTCATTACTTGGAGATGGCATAGATTGGTCATCATTATCTGACCAATGAAAATGATCCTCCATATTAAATGTATTAATTTAAAATTTATTTTATAAAATTAAAATATAAATGAAAATGGAAATGAAGATGAAAAAAAATTTAGAATTTTTAAAATTTATTTTATAAAAAAAAATATAAATGAAAATGGAAATGAAGATGAAAAAAAATTTAGAATTTATTTACTTAATAACTTTCTTTCACATCCTAATTTTTATTTATAAATATTTAACTATATTTCCAATCCCCCTTCCATCTGTTTTTTTAATTTCGATTGTTCATAATTATACTTCTTTTCTTATAAAAGCTCCTTTTTCTTTTTTTTTAAATTTTGAACTTTACCTAAAAAATAAAATATGTACAAAAAATAATAAAATATTAAAAAAACAGGATGTATGTAAAATGTAACTTTGCCTTTTTTATTTATGGCATTATTACTGAAAAAACAAAAAATAAGTAAAAAAAACGGAAGTTATTAATATTAAATAAAATAAAACTTAAATTTTTTTCGGCAAAAGAATTCAAAAGTGAATTGTTAATTTTTTCATTGAAAGAGATAATTTTTTTTTTTAAAAATATTAAATCAAGGAAGGAGGGGGAGGGGTATTTTTAAGATCAAAATTATAATACATATACTTACTTTATTTAAGATTATATATATATATTGTCATCATAATATTTAATAAATATTGTATATTCAAGTTTATGGTGTGCATAAGATCTATTTTTATGGGGATTAGGTGTGGAATAACTAAGTAGTTTTTTTCTTTACAATAGTTAAAAATGAAATGTGATAACACTATCCCCGGTCTATTTTGAACCTTGGCATATATAAATTAAGAAGAATTAAATAAAATTTCAGTTACTAGAATATTTTATTGATAAATGGTTAATTTATATAAAAATTAATCTTAATAAACAAATATATTTTGCAATTTGAAATAAATATTTCATAAATTAATATTCTTTTTAGAAAAATGTTAACAACTATACGTATTACTGATTATTTTCGCTTTACAATGTTAACTATAAAGTGTGACTAAAAAAAGGCCGTTTTAATCTCTACTCTCTCACTTTTAAACATTTTAAAAAGATTAATTGATGAGTACTTAATATTTATAAATTTATCATTTGCCAATCACTAACCAAAAACAATTATAAAAGTAAAAACTATAACATTACTCATTAAACTGTCTTTATCGGATTTTGATGGCGATTCAAAATCAATTAAATCTAAATTAAAAGGGATTTCCCCAATTCCAGAATATTTTTGAATCATATGATTTTGCGATCCTTATAGATATATTTTTTTTATCTTTTCTGTCTATTTAATTTAGATATAAAATATTAGTTATATTTTGAAAAATTTTGTATGAATCTAATATTAAAAAGTTGCCTTAAACGAAGTTAGCCACAAGGACAAGCAGTAATTATGAAGCGTAAGCCAATATATATTGCATAGTTGTTGTAATACATACAGGTTAAAGCTTTAACATATATTCTTTTCCCCTTAATTACTCAGAATTACTACTTAAAGTAATTTTTACTGAATTCTCAAAAGTTGCCAAGTAAAAATTTTAATTTTCTCAAAATTAAATTTCTTAGAAAATATAATATATAGCTCAGCAATTTTTACTATATATTTTTATTTTTAAGTGAAGCATGATTATTTGAGTTTTCAAATTAATCATTAATCTATGTCTTCTGGTGGTTTAAATCATGACAGGTTGGGGGTAAACATTTTTCCAAAAAAATATCTAGACAAAGGTATCAAATCCTCTCCATCTTTCCTGATGTCGAAATCTTCAATCGATTTCTGTTTTCGTAAGAATATCCCAAATCGACATTTCTTTAAACTATAACTAGGAATTATTAGTCCCTAAATGGGCATGGTGGGCATAGTTTATTCCACTAAACTAACTTTAGGTGGGAATTGATTGTTTCTTATAAAAATTACTGCCTTAATTAACTATTAAACATGACTTTTATACTTTTGAAATTCATTTTATCACTTAAAATATTTATTCCCTCAAAACTATCAAAAGTAATAACAATTTCATTGAAATTATTCTATTCATTCTATGACAAATATAAAATTATTCACAAATATTAATAAAATGAATATCAAAAAAGATAACGTTGTTTAACAAATTTATATTAAGTTTGATGATTAAAATATCGTTTAAAGTATATTTGTCAAATTTATTTCGTAATGTGGTTACTTCTTAGTGCACTGAAGGATCTTTCTATCGATATATGTGAGCAAAGATCAGCTAGAAATACTCGCTAGAGGGATATTTTGGATAAATGTAAAAATATTTTGATGGGAAGGCAATTTTAGGCTATACAATACATTAATTTGTAATATCCATTATCGAATTAGAGTTAAACAACAAATAAATGCATTTCAGCTTAAAATTAAAGTAGAGTCAACTCCTGAGGTGACTAATGTCAACTCCTGAGGTGACTTATGTCAACTCCTGAGGTGACTTATGTCAACTCCTGAGGTAACTTATGTCAACTCCTGAGCCAGCATATCTAATCTGTTTGAGGCTTAGCCATTTTTTACAACTTTAGGGTAAGAATTAAATCAACATAAATTATCCTCATTTTTCGATGATATATGAATTATAAATATCTAAAAATCGATAAATTCCTATAATAAATTTTTCACGGTCTTAGAAGGTAATTATTTTGAATTCCATATCAATTATTTAATTAATATGAAATTGAATTACTCGTCCTCTAATTTTTAATTTTTAGAATATAAATATACAATTTTTTTAAAAAGACTATTATTGAAATATTCGTCCTCTATGCATAAAATTGAGCAAAACATTAATAATAAATTATTATAAGTTGATTTGGTTTGGTGCTCGGATCTGTGCTTTGGTCGATGCTCGGGTCTGTGCTCGGGTCTGTGCTTGGGTCTGTGCTGGGGTCGATGCTCGTGTCGGTGCTCGGGTCTGTGCTTGGGTCGGTGCTCGGGTCTGTGCTCGGGTCGGTGCTCGGGTCGGTGCTCGGGTCTGTGCTCGGGTCGAAGCTTGGGTCGGTGCTCGGGTCTATGAATTTGGTCGACCAGGTCGACCAATTTGGTTGCTTTGGTTTTGGTTCATTTTTTCGACCAAAAACCCAACCAAAAATCATGCTAATTCGACCCAACCAAGCAATTTAACAACACTAATGGCATGGCAAAAAATAACATTATACTGATTAAAACACCTTTTATTTGACGCCCATATAATATCAATATCATCATGTTGTTGTTAAAAATATTCATAATAATAATTATGATTAATAGTAGACTACAGTATATAATTAACACACCTAGCCATATTAGCCTATCGAGCGAGACCTAGAGGGAACGCTTGTTCTTTTAATGAATAAATCTTATGTATACCATTCCTACTAAGTTCAAAAAAAAGTTAAAAATAAATGGGTTCTTGTGCCAGGTCTGGACCCCGGGTCTGAACCCCGGGTCTGGACCCCGGGTCTGAACCCCGGGTCTGGACCCCGGGTCTGAACCCCGGGTCTGTACCCCGGGTCCCGGGTCTGGACCCCGGGTCTGAACCCCGGGTCTGTACCCCGGGTCCCGGGTCTGAACCCCGGGTCTGAACCCCGGGTCTGGACCCCGGGTCTGAACCCCGGGTCTGTGCTCGGGGTTCGTGCTCAGAGCTGGTTTAGTCGATATTTTCGACCCAAACCCCGGGTCTGGGCTCTACACAACCAACCAATTAACAACACTAAAAAGCAATACAAAATATTATGAAAAATTATATTGATCTTAAAGTTATAAAAAATATATTATTGAGAATAGAAGTATATAATTCTTAAACATGATAATGAGAATCTTATTCCAAATATCTTATAATTCCTATTTGAAATCTAACATTTAAACATCATCCAATCATAAAAAAAGTCTGCAATTATCTCTTGCAATGTTTTTATGTGAAAGTTAGGCAAACGAATTTGATCAATGTGATATAGACTTATCCGAATTTCAAATTTATCAGACGTGATGCTTACTTGCTTATTAATCAAACACGATTTATTATCTCTTAATACTTTGCATTCAAGTTAGTTTATTTATGTATTACATTTTTAAAAAAATTATTCAAATATAGATTTTGTAAGATACGTAAGCACTGTTATGAAAAATAAGAGAAAAAAAACTAAAGGAAAAATTAAAGGTCCATATGTTAACGAAAATGATATAGTTGTTGCTGGTCAAATCATTACAAAGCAAAATAATCTTTTGTTTCACCCAGGATTAAATGTTTCTAATAATATATAATTTGATTTAAAATCAAATTCTAGGTTATAATTGGTAAAAATAACACCTTGAATTCTGTAATTAATGGTAAAATAATTGTAAGTGCAGAAAAATTGTTTCTAGATAACACTCGATATAAAGTACAAAATTATTATAAAGATTGGAGAGGTCAGCCTTCACACAAAAAATTCTTCAATGTTTTACCATTATTAACACATGAAAAATTTATAATAAAAAATTTTATATAATATTAATGTTAACAATAATATGTCTATAATATTGTATTCATATTTATTTTAAAAAAAAATTTATAAAAGATTATAAACAGGTTCAAGTTTAGGTGACAATTTATTTTGATGATTCAGATTTAAGGTTATAATATTACCTAATACCAGTTACAAGTCTGCAATGCCCAACCTGGTACTCATCCCATGGGCTAGACTGGGTAACATCTGATTTTTTTTGGGCTGGGCAAAATATTCAAAATTTAGATTAGTTATAAAAATTATAGATAAATTCTGATTAGTTTTTTTTACCACTTTTCAATATAAATAGTTGCTTATTTTGGTGTTCAGCTACATATATTTTTGGTTTGGCTTTGTATTTAAAACACTGGCTTGGCAACTTGATAAAAAATTGGAAATGGGTTGGGCTTGGTAAAAGCCAAATTCTAACCAGACTGAGCCTGAAAATTTTGCAATTTGCAGATCTCTATTATAAATTTAAGGGTTCCGATTTAATCTCTGCCTTAGAATGTTATTTTCATGATTAAGTATATCAAATAATTATTGACACAAACTTTGATAGAATGAATTAAAACAGTTGTTTACATATGCCCTGCCTTAGTGAACACCAGGGACTTGAACTAGAGGTCTGCAATGGGTAGGCTTTTAGCCAGAAATCCTGCCCACTATTTTTTTTGTAACCTGCCCACCCACCTATAATTTTTTTTTATTCCCCCCCCCCCCACATATATCTAACTTGCCCACCCGCCTAGAGGTCTGCATTGGTCAGGTTAGTGGGCGGGCGGGTAAAATTTTTTTAAAAACGGGCAGGCATGTGGGCGGGTTAAAAAAATATTTTAACAATGGGCGGGTGGGTGGGCGAGTTAAGAAATTTAGAAATTTAAACAATGGGCAGGCAGGCGGGTTAAAAAAATTAAAAATTTTTATTTTAATTAATAAAAAATTGTTATTACGAACTTAAAAAATAAAAAGCCTTTTTCTGGTATAACTTTTTATAAAATAAATCAACTTTTTTCTTCAATTAAAAAAACTTTTTCTACAAATAAAAACAAACTTTTTTCTATAAACAAATTAAAATCTCCTTTTATGGTAATGAAATAAAACTTTTTTCTTAAAATATATAATTTTTTAGATATTGAAAATTAAAATTTCCTTTTTTGGGAATAATGAAATTACTCCATTGTGTTATTTTATTTTAGTAATGATTGTTTATCTTTATATTTCTCTTTTTATTTTAGTAATGATTGTTTATCTTTATATTTCTCTTTTTATTTTCATTTTTATTTTCTTATATAATATATAAATATTATTTTTTATAACATAATTTTAACAAAATAATATTTTTTAATTTAATTTTAAAATATGAATAAAGAATTGATTGCTAAGAAAATAAAAAATAATTTGTATAAGATAAAAAACAATGAAGATAATAATAATAAACTTAAATCGTCTATGTGGAAACAATTTAAAATTATTTTTGATGAAAATGACAAAAAGCTAGATTGGATTCGCTGCAATGATTGTGAGTCTATCTTTAAATATAATAGCAAAAGTGGCACCTCCTTCTTCCTTCAGCATCAATGTTCATCTGCAAATTATGAAGATTTGATAGATAATAAAAAAATAACTGGATATTTTGAAAAAGACAATTCTCAATTAAACAAAACGATAAAATCTGGTCTAATAGCGAGTTTTGTAGAATATTGCGCTAGAGACATTAGGTATTTTAATTTAATAAATTATTCTTTTATCTTTTTTAGGCCATTTCAAGCAGTTCAAGGACCTGGATTTATAAATATTTTACAAAGATTTGCCGACTTAGGGGCAACATATGGTAAATTGGATGTTAATAAGATCATCCCTTGTGCTACTTCAGTTAGCCGCAACGTATCCAAACGCTACTTCTGAAAGAAAATTTAGCATTGCCGGAAGATTTTTAAAACAAAGAAGAACGTTTTTGAATCCCGAAAATGTGGATTCATTATTATTTTTGCATTATAATTACTTATAATATTTATTTTATATTTATATTTTATAAATATTTTATTTGATAAAATAAATTATCCATAATTTAAATTGAATATTTTTTAAGCTTAATATAGTAATTTCCTAAATTATAAAACTTATAGAGATGTAATGTTGAAACTATTTTCATTAGATGCTTAAAATAGCGGGCTTGGGTAAAATTTTTTTTATAAATAATGGGTTGGCGGGTAAAAAATTTCTGACTAATGGGCGGGCGGGCAAGAAATTTTAGATTAATGGGCGGGCGGGTAAAAATTTTTAGATTAATGGGAGGGTGGGCGGGTATATTTTTTTGAAAACTATAAGCGAGCTGGGCGGGCGGGTTAAAAATTTTTTTAAACATTGAGTGGGCGGGCATATTATCCAAAAACCCGCCCAATGCAGACCTCTAATTTCATCTAATGTCTTTGGCAAACACAAAGTAAATAATTTTGAATAAACCTCTAGTCCAATATTTGCTAATAGATTTTTTGTCTTCTATTTTGGCGATTTTAAAAATGATTTCCATCTTCGATAAATACACTTCCATCTCGCATTCCTTTAAAAAAATTATTTTGATGGCTAGTTTGGCTCTATATTTATTTTAATGTTTTTTTTATCCATTCAATACTCCAATGGGGTATATGAGACCCCAGGCTTGCTAGAATTAATATTACATAAAAACGGTTTATTATTATGATCTGGAATTTTCAATAGCTTCATCAAATATATCTTAGAATCTATATTCCAAATTTCATATATTTTGGTTAAATATTTTATAAGATATAAACATTTTGTGACTGATTGGGGTTTGTGAGACCCCACCAGAAAACGTAAGTTTTTGAAATTTTTTATAATTATCTCATTTTTCAAATTATATTTATCATTTATTATGATTTTTACATATTCTGAAAGTAAATATAATAAAATTTAATTAAAATATAATATCATTTTTTCATATATTTGAGTTGGATATGAAAAAATAACATTATTATCATAACCAAAAAAAGAAAAGGATGTCATAATGATATCAACTTTCCACCATAATAAAAATGTTGATACAAATGATACAAGAAATCCTGAAATGATAACATTTTATAATATGACTAAAGGTAGGTTAGATATGGTGTATTGAATGACAAAAAATGATACAATTTCTTATACACTTCTAATAATTCTTCTTCTCCGTTTTATGGCGATTTCCAGGTTTACCCGGGTAGGCCAGTTTTCCCTCTGATTTTTCTTTTCCATTTTTGACGGTCCTGAGCATCAATACTTGTAAGATTCAAGCTTCTCATATCCGCCGCTATCACATTTGTCCACGTCATCTTGGGTCTTCCTCTAGGTCTTGATCCTCCTACTTCCATCATTGTTCATCTCTTTACCCAGTCATCTCTTGTCATACGTTCCACATGCCAAAACCATCTTAGTCTATTTCGTCGCATTACCATACCAATCATTTCTATACCTAATCTTGCTCGCAATTCCTTGCTAGTTTTTCTCTCTCTCAGAGATACCCCACACATCCATCTAACCATCCTCATCTCTGTTCTTTCTAATTTGGCTTCGTGAATTGCTTTCATTGCCCATGTTTCACCGCCATAAACTAAACAACTTCTCCCGCAGCTTACGTAAACTTTCCCCTTTAACTTCAGAGAAACTTTTTTATTTGTAAGAATAGACGACATCTCTCTGAACTTCTTCCAAGCTTGTCTGATCCTTGCAACAACAGCAGAATCTACACCACCATCTGCGTTTAGCATATCACCTAAATAACAAAACTTATCCACTTTTTCTAGGGTTAACCCATTGCCAATATCCAGACCACCATTTTTTAGGTTATCATTATTATGTATCCCTTTCATGCATGTTTTACAAATAAAGGTCATTCTTTCTAACATCAAACTGCCTTTTTTCCCGCTACATCTTTTATGTACCCATTTCTGGCATCTGGTGCATTGGATTGAATTTCTAGCAACTCCTTTCCCACATACACCACATGGCCACTTACCGGATTCCTCCATCTTTAGATTTTCCCCACCAATCATCACCTTTGTTTTTAATGCATTCATTTTCAGGCCCTTTGCTTCCATAGTCATCTTCCATTTACTAACTTTATCCCTCAATTCTCCCTCACTGTTTGCCATTAATACAAGGTCATCTGCATATAATATCTCCCATGGAAGTCCTTCACGCATTTCTATAGCCACCACATCCATTACTAAGATAAATAATAATGGACTCAGCACGGATCCTTGATGAAGTCCTACCTTCACCTCAAAGCTGTCACTATCATCATAATCCGTCCGTACTGCTGTTTGTGCTCCAACATACATTGCCATCACTGCGGTAACTAACCATTCCTCCACACCGGATTTTCTCAAGGCCCATCTTGTAATCTCACGCGGCACCCTATCAAATGCTTTCTCCAAATCAACAAACGCATAATAGAGTTTCTTTTCCTTCGCAAGATACTTCTCCTGAATTTGTCTCACCACAAAAATTGCATCTGTCGTGCCTTTTCCCGATGTAAAACCAAACTGCATTTCATCAATTTTGATTTGTTCCCTTATCCGCTTTTCTAACACTCTCTCAAATACTTTCATTGCATGTTCCAAGAGTTTAATAGCTCTGTAAGACCCACAATCTAAAGGATCACCTTTCCCCTTGTATACTGGGATAATTATACTTCTTCGCCAGTCCTCGGGAATAGTACCTTCTGTGACAATCTGATTTGCTAAATTCATTAACCATTCAATCCCTAAATCATCAGAACCTTTAAACATCTCTGATACCACCATCGTTAAACCCGATGCCTTCCCTTTCTTCATCTTTTTCACTGCTCTCCTTATCTCGTCCTTGCCAAATTTACACCCTGGACCTTCTACCTTTGCACAACTAATATTATTATTCCATTCATTTTCTTCATTCAAAAGTCCTTTCATGTAAATCTTCCAGGTGTTCTTAATACCACTACTATCAATCGTCATTTTTCCTTCCATATTTTCAAACACTTTACACCTATCACATCCTGCCTCTTTTTTGACATCTGTTTTGCCATTCTAACCATATTTCCAATTCCATCAGCGCATTTCATTTCTTTAGCAAACTCGTGTCTTTTTTCTTCTTGAGCCTTCGCTATTAATTTCTTAGCATTTCTTTTAGCCATCTTGTAAATATCATTATCACTATTTTCTTTGCTATTATACCATACTTTGAAACACCTCCGTTTCTCATCCACGGCTTTCGCTACCTCTGGGCTCCACCACCAAGTCTCCTTATGTCTAGGCGGCCCTTTTGTCCATCCACATACCTCCTCAG